TCAGGCTGGACAGGGCTTGGAGAAACCTGGGATACTGAAAGGTGTCACACTCGGCATTGCCTTCCAATTAAAATGTGTGAACTTCCAGCTTCTTTCCTACTCAGTGCACCTCCTTATCCCACCACAACTCTTTCTGTCGACCTTCTCCATCCAAGAAACTGTGTTTTAAGTGAAAACTTAAGTTTTAAGTGAAGCTTTAAATGAAAACTTGAAACTAGAAGTGTGAACCCACCCCCCCTGGATCCATACATTTCTTAACAATACTGGATTATAAATTCACTATAAGGATGAAAAGTAAAATTTTTCAACAAGTTAAATATTTCAACAAGTTAAATGGCATGAAAAGGCTGAGTATTCTAGATCCAAAGACCAGGTTGCCTCTGCTTTGCTCTGTGTCTGCTCCAAAGGCTCCACAGGACATGGCACAACACAACCAGGACATGTCCAGGCTTTAATGGCTCTGGCACACTTGGAACCTCAAGAATTCATCCCAAGACATGATTCCAAGCTCAACCAGGTCACACAGCCCAAGGCAGAGAAGGTGTGTGTGGTACTGAGAACTTATTTTCATATTTCTTCAGCTCCAGGTGCTGCCAACAACGGTTCAAGCCCAGCAGGATTAGTTTAAATCAGCCTCAGGCTTGTTCTTCTCCACAGCTCATGTCATCTTCAGGGAATTTATTATATGGAGAACGAGGCTGCATTGCTTCAGTCCCCTTTTCTGTCCCCAAAACACCATGGACTGACTTGTGGACCACAGGGGCCAGACCCCCATCCCAGCCTGAACCAGCCCCATGGCCATGTTCCTGTGTGGAATATGATCTTCCTGATCTAAACCAGGGGATACAACACACACATAATGAACCAGACCTGCCTCTGAATCGCTGAGCACAGCACACACCTTTGGAACTATTTGTACAGTTCCACCTCCAGCTTAAGATCCAGCCCGAAACAGGCAATTAACTGGCTACTTTCTGGGATCTCACATGGAAAATGCAAACACTGGACCAAATAAAAACCAGCAATGAGATTTTTCCGCGACCTTGCAGAAAGTTCAGAGCAAGATTTCCACCAGCCCTCTGAGTGCCAGAGGTCTCTGAGGGCACCATTTATCACTACAGCAGAATTTAAAACAGACATTAGTATATTTTAAACTATTTTATTTATTAAATTTTCCCAGGGAGAAAGTTCTGTGGCAGAAAACTCCACTGGCAAAGAGTTACCTCTTTGTATTGACCCCCCCCCCTCTCGATTCATCTGCTAAACCCATAGATGGAAGTGGCTTTAGTGTTTCAGACAGTTTTGGCTTCTCTGCTGCTGAGTACAGTTGGATTAGTTTCTGAAATAGAATTGGCTCCCAAATTATTTGAAGCATTTGTGCTCAGGGAATGCTGGGAAATGTCATTAGCGTGCCATAATACTTTTGTCTAATGCTCTCCAAGTCTATGCCAAAATAAAAAAGGGGAAAAACAGTGTCTATTTTGACTCCAGCAGCACAGCTTAAGTACTGTGGGAGCAGATCTCGAGCGCTGCCTCGAATTCAAATGAATTAATGACAGCAAACTTTAAGCTGAGTTTATTTCCTTTGTCTGGAGAAGAGGCAAAGGTAATAGCTGATGAAATAAAATACAGATTTATGCTGGGGTCTTGGTAAGTTGGAGTCTCTTTGTCTACTCACTGCCTGCAGTAGATGAGGGAGGAAGAGGAACAACCCCCCTGCCATGTCAGCAATTTTCTGAGTCTCCCCAAATCCTGTCATTTATTGTGTGCAGTTCCTTCAGCTTTCATTCAACACATTCCTCACCTCCTCTGGGGCACTCTCTGCTTCAGAGGCTTTTGTCTTCTGCTCCCAATTCCCCTGTTTATGTATTAATCAAGTGCTGAGTTTGGAGCTCTAACTTTTCCATCTGCTAATTAATTCCCATCCACGAGCCACCTCCTCCTCCACCCCAGAAGATGCTGTACTCACAAGCCTATTTCCCTGGTGACTAAATCAGGAAATTTATTACCAATCTTTTTCTAGCTGTGCCCTGTGGTCTGACAGGAGCTTGTGCCAGTGTTCCAAGGGGCTGCCATTCCCAGGAAACCACCACAGCCACCTCCAACAGCTTCTAACACCAGCCTGCTCCAGGAATTGATGGTGGTCTGCAAGTACAATCCTACAAAACTATTCAAATCCCTTAAAAATTAGTCAGAACACTGAAGTGTGGAGCAGCTGACTATTTATTTCTTTAAAAATCCAGGATATTTTCAACATGTAGACATCCCAGACAACTAAAAAGGAGTAAATAAGTAAACAAATGTTGTGAGCCCTCCTTCAAAACAAACCAAACACCCAACAAGACTCTGCCAAGAGGCTGTGGGTGTACATGCTATGGATGGAGATCAGGTTGGCAATGTTTAAAAGAAGATGTATTAAAAAAAAAAACAAAACAAACCAGAAGAAATCGCTCCCCTGTGGTGAGTCAGACCAACATAATTAAACATAAGCCATGGTCATCAGTGCTAATTAAAACGGGCTTCTCAGAGGGGTGACTTTGGGCCAGATCCTTGCATTTCTCTCTTCAGTGCTTGAGCAGCACTGAGCAGAGGCAGGGGTTGCTCAGCCTCCAACAAATCCTGCTCTTCCCTCAGCTTGAACCACAGAGGATTTGGCCTCTGCTTCAGTTCAGTTTTCAAAACAAAAGCAGATACACTTCACTGGGAGCAGGTGCAGAGACATTAACACTGGAGGAAGCCTCTCCCTGCCTTAGCAGTGGGTTAATATTGTCCTTTTTCTGTCACCAAAGCACCGCTCTGCCCCATCACAGACCTGCTGGGGACAGTGGTTTGCTCCCCCCTCGGCCCCACTGCCCACCAGCTCTGGCCACAGCATTTCCCACAGGGGCTGAGGGATCCCTGCTGTGGTTCCCACTGCATTTCAAGTGCCCAATTAGCCTCATCAATGCAATCCACTTAATAAACCCAGCCCTGGTTTGCCAAGGGAAGGTGAGCAGCCACAGCCACCCAAAATCAGTGGGTTTCGCTTCTCCCCTTAAGTCTCCCCATGTTTCTTCTACCTCCAGCCTTCAAAACCATCTCTTTTTCTGCACAGAACCAACAAGAAATAAAAATTAACCCTGCATTGTAGAGTCCCTTCAGCCCTGCATCCCATCTCCAGCAGAGGCTTTAAAATCAGACCACACAGGGATACCCCCAAACACCCTCCCCGCCCCCAGAGATTTACAGCTCAGAAAAACCTCTCAGTCATAGCTGGGATCTTTGTATTTAAGTCTTTCATGTCCTTTTCTCTCACACAAATTCGTGCAGTTGCTTTTTGCACCTATGTAAACACAGCTTAACACAATGAGGAGATTTATAGATGTTGCAGAGAAAACCACATTTCCTCGTTGCTCGGAGCCTGCCACCCACTCACTGCCTCCAAACCCGCTGCCAGCTCAGTCCCCTCACCTGCTTCCCCCTAAATACACATCCTGGTCCAAGGAAGGCACTGGGATGGGGATGGGGTGAAGCACACAGGATCCAGAGAACCACCCTGTAGCGCTGTGCACTGCCTTTCAGATCCTAAAAGCAATTCCCAAACAAGAGGAAAACCCGCATTGCACATGGCATCAAATCATCACAGGGCCACAGAGTGTTCTGCTCCAAAGAGGCATCACCTCAGGACATCAAAAGGACATCCTCATGTCCTTTCAAACATGGAAAGGACCACTGAAGGAGTCAAAATGGCTTGTGGGGATGGTGCTGGTGGGAGTTATGGTCGTGCCTGAGGACCCTGTTGGCTCTAGAGGATGAGAGTGACAACAGAAGCAGTGGCACCACCTGCATGGCCTGGCTGCTCTTTGCTTCTTTATCTGCACTGGTAAGGAAAATAAGAGCTAAAGGATCAAGCTGAGCCTTTCTCTTCATTTATTCACTGGAATGTTTCAAATTTTTCCAGCTGAAAAAGATGTCAGATTTCAGGAATGTTTGGCTGTTAAAAAGATGCAGGTCAGAAGGGAAAGCAAGACCCCCCTGAGGAGAGAGACCCAACTTCATCTCAACTGTGTGAGAGGCTGGGAGAGCTGGGGGTGTTCATTTAGAGAAAAGAAGGCTCCAGGGAGACCTGAGAGCCCCTTCCAGGGCCTAAAGGGGCTCCAGGAGAGCTGGAGAGGGACTTAGGACAAGGGATATTGAGAAGGAATCCTGGCTGTGAGGGTAGGGAGGCCCTGGCACAGGTTGCCCAGAGAAGCTGTGGCTGCCCCTGGATCCCTGGAAGTGTCCAAGGCCAGGCTGGATGAAGCTTGGAGCAGCCTGGGATAGTGGAAGGTGTCCCTGCCCATGGCAGGGGGTGGAATGAGATGGGCTTTAACATTCTTTCCAACCCAAACCATTCTGTGGTTGTCTCATTTCCACTCAGGACACTTTCTGATTGCAACTGTCTGTGCAGGCCTCAGATGAGGCTTCAGCTCAGCAAATCTCCTGCAGCAAGTGAGCTTCTCCTGCATCTCCTGCTTTTATGTGGAGTGGCAGAAAATCCATGGGGAAATGGGAGCACAAGGAGCCACCCTCCTCCCTCAGCACAGGTCACAGAAAAGATGACACACGAAAAAGCACAGGGCTCTGTTTTAACCAGTGCACCTTTGGTGGGAATTAACATCATAGCCTGATCCCTTCCCCCTCTCAATTCCCACAGCCTCCCACCTCCCCACTGTCTCAGAGCTCACAATTTACCACCTGTCCTTGATCTTTTCTTTGTACTGAAAACGTGTGGTAACTGCAACATCTTTGCATGCAACAAATGATAAGGGAGATAAAAGCAAACAAGGAAATAGTGAGCAGGACACAGCCAAAAGCAATGGTACATCCTGTAGTGCTTCCTGTCATCTAACCACTGAAACGACACAAAAAAATACCCAAACACTTCTTTTGTCCAGAACTTCACAGTGTGTGAAAATAAACACCTGGAAAAAAAAAATGAAAATGCAATTCAAAAACACAGGAAAGAATGTAAAACTTACCAGGCTCTAACTTGATTATTTTTACAGCAGCCAGTTCTCCTGTATGAAGATTTCTAGCCTGAAACAAGAGAGTTAAGACATATTTAATTAAATTATCCTGCAAAGGCACTTCACAGAGTCTTGCAAACTGTGCAAAGATAAACTACGATGTGTGTTACAAATACAATGCAAAGCTGAGAGTGACCTGAGTGAGGATTATCTGGGTTGAAAATCAGCACAGCATCAGCCTAGTTGGAATTGTGAAATGTTCCTGGCAGTTCTGTTGGAGACTTTAAGGCAACCATCAGCAAATCACAGAATTTAGGTTGGAAAAGACCTCCAAGGTCATCGAGTCCAAGCTGTGATTCCAGCCCGGAGCACTGAGTGTCACGTCCGGTGACACCTCCAGGGATGGGGACTCCACCACCTCCCTGGGCAGCCCCTAACAATGTTTAATCACTTTTCCTGTGAAGCAATTCCTCCTGATGTCCAACCTGAACCCGAAAATGAGAGTTCATGCCTCTCAGACACCACTTTTAAGGGAAGTTTCTGCCGTGATGCACCACAGGCTGTCAGAGCGCGGAGCACACGGAGCTCAGCCACCCATCTCATGGTGTTAAAACCTCAGGGTGCACCGAAAGTGGAACTGAGAGGTGCAGGGGCAGGGGGAGGCACTGCAGAGGCAGCCTGAACAAGTCACAGCTCTTTGTCAACAACTTAATTCTGAAAACCGACTCCTTCCACCAGCCCTCGCTTCCCATGATCCTCGGGAAGAAGGAGAAGGGGTAGGGAGATCCAGATAAGCCTTTACAGAAGTGCCCTCTCTGGATATGCTCCAAAATTCACACTGAGAATTCAGCACTGGAGGAGGATGTCACAGAAAAGTCAGACACGGAAAGTTTTAGAAGGGGATTTCATTAACACTTTTAACCATAACAACACGACCTAAATCACTCAGGCACCATCACCAGAGCTAAACTCTTAAAATTTTGGACACACAACGTGATTCAGTCAGGCACTGTGGCATTCATTCTCCTTCTGCTGATCACCCAAAAGTTACAGGAGTCCAAACCCAATTGTTTCATTCTTACCCTAACAAACATGGAGAGTCTGCTTCAGAACTGGATTACAGAAAATGGAGGGAAAGCCAGGTGAAATCAATTTGGGCAGTTACTTTAGAGGAGGATGTAAAGCAAATCTGACCCTGTGAAGGGAGTCATTACAGAACAAAACACTCTTCTCCTGTGGATGGATAAGTCTTAACAACAGGTAAAGCAAGAACCTGAAGGGTGAACCCCTCAGTTTTATCAAAACTTATCAAGCTTCCACATAGGGAAAGGCTTTCCAGCCAGGAAAAAACCACAACAAAACCAAACCAAACCAAAAAAACCACCCCAACAATCACTGGCCTTTCAAAGCCCTGCAGTGCTCGGACATGAGGTGGGTGTCAAACACAGGCCAAGGGCACAAATATGACTCAGCCTGAGGTCAGAGAGAACCTGAACAACTGTACAGTGGAACCAAACCTCTGAAGGCCAAATCACCGAAGCAGATTGTCATCTGCAAACCACAAAGGAAACATTCACCACTTCTTAAAGTACCTTCCTACCACAGCGAAATCCTTGGTGTCCTTCAGCATCCAGAAGGAGAATGCATTCCCAGTATGGATAAAGGATTCGGACCTCTCTGCTCCTGTTACACCCAATGATACTGTTGGGAAACATGGATCTTCCCATCAGGGACACACACCCTGCCTTGGTGAAGCCAGGGATTCTTCACTATCCAGTGTTACCCACAAGGAGCTAAGCTGCTCACATAAAGACTGCACGGTTTCCAGAAAATCAGCTTCGCTCCTGAAGTACAAAAAAGATCATATTCCTCACAGATATTCCTTTTCCATACAGGCAGTAACTGCCACTGTCATGCTGAAGACTGAAGGAATGGATGGAGTCTGCCAAAGGCCTCTTGGCTGGGATTTGGAGGTCCAGGCTGGAGATCACTGCTATTCCTGGCTCTCAGCTCTCACACACAGCAGCTACAGAGTTCCACCAAATTTTGTCCAATATTACCACTAAGCTTTTGCATAGAACCCATAGCTTGGACGTGGACTATTTCATGTTTGAACCATCAAACTCTGCCTGCTGGAACAGAAAGCTCCCTATTGGGTTGGTATTTATGAACTAAACAAACCAAGTTCCCTGAGCCACTCGCCCCAAGACCAGTTTTCTGGTCCTACAGTTTGTTTTCCAGCTGTTCTGAGTTGATGACACCAAACCCACATGTGATCATTAACTCCCGTTGTGCCAGCACTGAAGGTAAAAACGCTGAGTACTCCCTGATCCTCAAAATCCTTGTTTGGATGCCCACAGGCATGGAATGGTGTAAGATCTTCAGCCTAGACAGTGGTGAGCATGCAGCAAATCACCCAAAACGCTTCCCCAAAGAGTCACCTGCCTGCAAACGTGGCCAGTGGCTTTTGTTCCCTCGTCTTGGATTGCACCAGCCTCACACAGGCACACACAGCTCCATCCCTTCCCCTTTCCCACCTGTCAGCTGAAAACCCATCAATAATGAATTGCTGTTCTCTTGCACATCATTAAAAATGCAAGAAGGCAAGGGCTGAAAACTGGTTCTCCGCGGGACACACCCAGATATGAAAAGTGTCAGCTCAGGAGTCCTCAAATCATTCTGAGACAGGGTGAGTTGAACAATCCTTGACTCGTTTCCCAGGGGTGACGAGTTTGCAGCGTTCTGGTTTTTTGGGTTTTTTTCAGAAAGAATCGTGTGGTTATCAAGGAAGTCACAGACAGGAAAGCACCACATACTGCTGGCTTTCTGAATCAAACCTGCAGTTTGACTACAAATCGTGTTTGACAAAAATATAAACCCCTGTGAAGAGTTAGTTAATGATCTATCAATATTTCTTACTGAAATATTTCAACATATCAATATTTCTTCTTCACTGCAGAGGGGGAATTGAAATAAGGCTAAGAAATTACAGTTCTTCTACTCCTCTTATTTACATTTTTCAAGCCCAACAGTAAAATATCTGCCTCTTCCCCACCCCCTGACATTTCCTCAGTATTTCAAGTCTCAATTTAAAATTATCTGAAACCAAGCAGAGGAAGTGTTACTGCACCCCAAGTAATCCAGGCCTGTTCAGTATCTCACGAGCTATTACTGAATGGAAAATTATCATTTATATGCATTTATCACATAAAGATGACATACAGATAATGAACCTTGATGATCTCTTCTGCATATTTCTAATATTTCAGTCTAATGGAAGATAAAACCTGATAGATTTCTCATTGTCTTTAATTCTTCCAGCCTTGATTCCTTCAATATGTAAGGAAGTCTCCTAAAAGCTCATCTTGACATTAAAGGCTAAAAGACCAAATCCACACCTCCATCAGCAACATGGTCTAGCTCCAGTATACCAGAGAAGAGCTCAAATCCCCAGGATATTTCTTTAAGACTTTCCCCCAAGAGGAAGGCAGAGCTTCTGCTATTTATTACTATTGATCTTAATTTTATTTCACGAGACTCAAAACTGAAAATCCTGCTCCGCGTTACTCAGAACGAAAATTAAAACTACGGGATTTTGGCACAAGGATTCCAAAGTTCCAACAGAAAATGTGACCTCCACAAGGAAGGGACCAGAACAAGGTGAACCACAGCCAAAATTTCTTTTGCTCAATGTCATTCACAGAGGACATTTCCTGAGAAAGCAGCCTTTTGGTCACCTCTTCCTTCAGCTGTCCCACAGCCTGCTGAGGATGAGTGACAGCCTCCCACTGGGCACAGCACTTCCAGAATATTTTAGCAGCTGAATACTAACACTGCAGAACATCACATGGAGTCTGTGTTCAAAATAAAACAAAACACAACTACTCATCTTTTCTCTTTTCTTTTGAACATCCCGTTGTGTTGCTGCAGTGACCGAGCACATCACACACCTCACTGATGTGACAGCACTATCAGCAGGACTATTTGGGGGAGATGGGACAGTTTTATAATGTTAAACACACAAAAAACATTGAGGTTTTTCCCACTGAGATTTAACTTTCCTCCCAAAAAAGCTGCTGTGGGACAGTGGAACCCGAGGTGACACCCGTGGCAATCCCTGTGTGTGATGTTTCCCACCAACAACACACGTGAGAAAACACGTTCTGGGTAGGACACTTTCTGCAGCCAACAACCAGAAATAACACAGAAAACTGGTTTCAGAACCAGTTGTGCACTCTGCACTTGTGTTTTATTTGTTCTCATGAGTGCAAGCCAAACAATTCCACCCTGGGGGGGGGGTCCACAGGAGTGAGCCACGTGAGATGGCCCAAAATTAGACAATCTTGGACATCTGAATGCAAGTGCTCAGTGTCCTTTTCCAGGCACTAAACAGTGAGGAAGAGAAAAGAAAGACTCAGGCAGCAATACCCCTCTCACAGCCTCCAAATCAGTAATTTCGATTTCCATGGTGAAATCCCCTCCTCTCCCCGGCGTTGTTGTCTCATCTCCAGCCTTGGATCAACAACCCAACTCGCCAGAAGAGCTGTTTGTTCGACCGTGTCTCCATTTAATCGAATGATAATTGCAGCTCCTGTGGCAGCCCTCCCACCCCTCCCCAGCTTATTCATCCCTTGCCAAGCTTCACTCACCAGTGACCACGACGTTCTGCTGTCTCCAGCGCTGCCTGTTCCTCCCCAGTCACTGAATACCCCTTCAAAAGGTACCTGACCTCCTGCCCTGCCACTGAAAAAGGAGCTTCTCATCTGCTTTCTAGTTTCTGACCTCTTACACTTTGCAGCTCTTAACCTGCTCTTTGTGGTTTGGGAAGTCCCATTATGCTGCGTTTTTGGTTTCATATCTCACAGCACCGTCAAACAGACCCTTGAATTCATCTGCCGACGTCTCTAAATTCACATTTATCACTTTTTATCACTCTCAGCCAACTAAAGTGACCCAGAGAGATGTTTCTCACCTGGGCTGCCCTAAATCCATGAAAACAGAGGCCTTTCTTACACGCAGCAGGTATTTCCTTTGTGATTAAAAAGGAGAATCCAAAATATTACAGGCATT